TTTTTTTTTAAAAAAAAAAAAGAAAAAAAAAAGTCAAATCCAAAATATAACTATGACATACCGGTCTATATAGATCAAAAAAAATATAACGACGAAATATAAAGAACGAAAATATTAAGAACATATTACAATTGAGTAAAATTTATGTAACTTATATTAGAGTACATACATGTTATACTTATCACGGCGAATTGTGAACGAAAAGCAACATGATGTAACATTTTGAGGGTCTTGATCTGGTCCTTTCAACAAACATGATGTTAATACAGCCTTTTGGCCTGCATCGAAAGCTATATTTCCATATTTCTAATTACAATAATTATGTTATTATTGATGTTATTATTACAATTTTGTTTGGGAAAACATTTATTATATGATATATATATATAATAAATTCAAGGTAACTGACCTCCCAATAATTTACAGCTGATTCTTCCATCATCAACTTTATAGGATAACAAAGCATACCATATCAAGTTTTAGCTACGATACATGAAATTGAATTCTCGTAGTCTACATATTGGGAGGGAGTCAATAGAAATAGGACAAATTTTTTCTAAGTAAAGTTTTTTAAACTTTAAGTTAAAATACCTCAACAACTATCAAACCAAAATTTAATAAAAATTTTTTATTTTAATTCTAAATAGTTATAGAATTAAAATAAAAAATAAAATAATTTTATTAAATTTGTTTGGTAGTTGTTGAGATATTTTAGTTTAAAATTTAAAAAAAAAAAAGGTATTGAAAATGATTTGTCCCATTTATATTGACTCACTCCCATATTACACTCACCTCGTATATACATAGGCGTCCTTCTCTTAGCATCTCAACTGGCACACCTACAAGAGAAGCGAATTCTTTGTTGCCCTTATATATTTCACCTGTTCTACGCCATAGGCATGCCGGAATACCCATAGAGCTAAATACCCTATCGTAATCCTGGTATATATAATGAATAACAAGTCTAAGCGCAATTATGCAATTATTAAGTTATTCAATGACACATAGAACTAATTATGCTTGTTCGAACCAATAAAAGACGTTCAAATACTCCTTCAACCATAACTAGGCCCACGTCCGTTAATGATTGTGCAACGTTACGGAAGGAAGGGCGGAAAATACTCAGTGAGCTCAAAATTCGTTGTCTACTTAGATTAGACATACTACCACATTTAAGAGAATAGAGAATTATTCTACAAACATTCAATAAACGATAGGAGAAATACTTTAAAAATTCTTACTGATTGTCCATATATTGTGATAAGCGATAGTATCCATTGACGTAATTATATGGTTTCAAGAATCCAGCTTCAAACTTTGCGTTAATCACCTGGGTCAATCGGTCTTCAGATGTACCATCTGATGGATCGGCTGCGGTTAAAAAAAACTTGTCGGTGGTATCTGCCGTCGGTCCGTCGTTATTATGATGACTCTGTTGATTACCATCCACACTCTCCAAAAAATTACTTTCCACGAAAGAATATTAAGTAAACATATGGTAGGTAATTTAAGCCGTGTCACTACCTTGTTAGGAACAAACCAATTGAATAAATGATGTAAAGTTTCTCCGTAGATCTTACGTAAGCACGGTGAATTCATGACCCGTATGTTCGCTGGCAAAAGTAAGAGGAGTAGGTAACGGCGTATACGTAAGCTGTGAGAAATCTTGAAAATTGGAGTAATTATTTGTCGTTCTCAAAACTAAAAAAAAGAATAAGATAAAGATTAAACATGTACAAGAAGTTTT